TCATGGCAGTCTACAGGGCAGCAGCGGGGAAAAAGTTCGCCACGAAAGAGGACGGCGAGCTGGACATCGACGCCTACCCGGAGGCAGAGGATGAGGCGCTGCTCGCCAAGGTGGGAAGGGCTCGCCCGGAGGACCTGCTGCGAGTAGCGAGGCTAAGGCTTTTCGGCGAGCTACTGCAAGCAGGACCACCCCTCGCCTTTGCGACGATGGCCCAGCTTCTCCTGCGACCCCAGCACGCCAAGAGGCAGTCCTGGCCGCAGATGCTGATGGGGGACCTCCGCTGGCTGCAAGGCTACTCGGCGGACCTCCAGGACCTCCCAGACCCCAACGAAGAGCTGAGGCCGTGGGAGATGATGATTTTACGCTCGCACTCCTCGTGGAAGTACAGGCTCAACGACACGCTCAAGGCGGCGGCAGCGCAGCTGAGCAGAGGACACGCGGCACGCATGGCAGAGAAGCGCTTCTTCGCCACAGTGCAGCCAGCGGGAGTGCCGTATTCCACGAAGGCAGCCCTTTCGGGCCCCCGCAGGCAGACGAGCCAGACACAGCGTCGACGAGACAATGGACATGCCCGTGGTGCCAGAGGACGTTCAGGCGCCAAAGAGGGCTCAGAGTCCACATTTCACAGCAGCACTGGACCATGGTCAGTCTCGCGCGTACCTGGACGGGTTCAGCAACGCAGTGCCAAGGGTGCCTGACGCTGTTCGACCAGACCCACCACCTCACCGAGCACCTGGCGATTGCATCGCCTGCCTGCCTCGCCGCCACCATTGATGCGGGAGAGGCGCCTGGTACCGAGGAGTACGAGATGCGCAAGGAACTCCCGCGAGGCCTACTGAGGAAGAGAGCGAACATACCCGCGATCAAGGCAGCAGGGCCCATGCCAGACGTGGTGTCCCTCAGCCAAGATGATGCAAAGGTGGTCCTGATCGAGTCAGACTACGTGCTCGACGACGTTGCCAGGACCACGCTGCAGGAGGGCTCAGAGGAACGGCCTCAGGAGAAGCCGGAGGTTCAGCATGACGAAAGGTACGACCTGAACCAGTTCCGCACCGACAAGTACAGCGGGATCACCACGGAGGAGAAGATCCCGTGGAGGATCCAAAGGGCAGAGATCTAGGTACTCAACCTGTTCTGCGGGCACAGGCGCAAGGACGACATACAGCACGTGTTCGAGTCAGCACTGAAGTTCGAAGTGATGTCAGAGAAGGTGCACATCATGGTCCTCAGCATCGACGTGGCGATCGACGCGCAGCGCTGCGACCTCATGCGCCAGGACAGCCTGATGGTCTTCCATGAAGGGATCCTGAAGAGGCAGATCGTGATGTCGGGAGGAGGACCGCCATGCGAGACATGGAGTGCGGCGAGATGGTCGGAGCAGCCAGGCCCACCGCCGCTCAGGTCCCACGACCAGTTCTGGGGAGTGGCGCACGCTGCGCCGCAGCAGAGGGTCCAGCTGGCCGTGGGGAATGCCCTGATGCAGTCCATGGTGCTCCTCCTCGCGGCGCACCTGGTGGCAGGCACGGCAGGGTGGTCGGAGCACCCTATCCCGTGCAGCTGGCGGCTCGCAGCCGTAACATCGTGGACATGGGAGCCGTGGCTCGCGCTGCAGTCGGCGCCGTGCACCACGTCCACGGACTTCGACCAGTGCGAGCACGGCCAGCTGAGCAGGGCCCCGACCAGACTTTTCGGGCTCCGCATGGCGGGGCTCCACCGTCGCCTGACTGCGACGCCTGGGGGAGGAAAATGCTCCCACGGGCGAGAGGCCCACGCCACTCTCCTAGGACGCGAGGTAGGATCCAGGGCCTTCCGGACCGCGCGGAAGAAGGTCTACCCCCCAGGCCTCTGCCGCTGCATCGCGGAGAGCATTCTGGAGACGCTCGAATCGGCTCTGGACGCTGCGCTTCCGGATGCGCCTAGTGATGACTCCCAGTCTCACCACCTCCTTGTGCAGGGCCTGGCGGACTTTTATGTCTCAGAGATCCCTACGACTGAGGACGGGGCCAGGGAGTGGGCCCCGGATTTCGCGAGGGGAAAGGGCCGCAGCAGGCCTGACCCTGAGAGGGGCCGCTTTGAGGCCCCAGACCCGCCTGGCCAGGATCCCCCAGGCCCCTCCCAGGATCCTGAAGACAGCCAGGGCCCCACAGAGGAGGAGGCCTACGCTGCTGAGGTGATCGGATTCTCTCCCCTCCTCTGTCCCCCGACTCCGCCTCCGCCTCCGCCTCTCCCTCCCCGTCCCCCTCTGACCGACACCCAGCGGCGCAAGATTGCCGAGAATAAGGCCAGGGCCCAGCGGATACGGCAAGAACGCAGTAGGCCGTGGGCCTCTAGGGGCCTTGACCTGCGAATCGCGTGGGGAGCCCCAGAGGGCTGCCCCATGCAGGAGAGCCCCTGCGGGGCTCGGGTGGACTTGCCAAGGAGCGGGTCGGCCTGGGCCCAACAAATCTTCGGAAGGGCCTGACAAGGAATCGGGCCCGCCACACCCTCCACCTGGCTACAGGCCAGGTCCGAGCCGGCCCACTATAAGGGCCACTGCACGTCGGCACCGACAAGACGCAGAGTTCTACCACCTCATCCACCTCCTCCTCCTTAACTTCATCGTCGTCCTCCTCCATGTACCCCGGATGGAAGGGGCAACTAAACAAAACTGAGGCGCCGAGGGCAGGTCGAGCACGCAGGGTCACGATCGACCTCCGCCTATGCCCACACAGGTGGAGCACGGCCCCCGCCCTGACAGTGCCCAATCACGGCCCTACGCTCAGAGGGCATGAGGGGGACGCCAGCTACATACCCAAACATGTGACATGTGACGTCTTGATTTGTTCAATGCGCGGTCCCCGGGAAACCCGACCCTTTCCCCGGGACCCGCTTCTCCTCCTGAATCATTTTCTGACGGTCAGGGGACCCGGCAAGGGCCCCCGGAGGCCAAAAACGGCTAAAAACATCCCGTCGGAATCTTCACGACGCGACCATTCGGGAGCGGCCAAGAGGGGGGTGTCCAAGAAAGGGGTGTGCAAATCATGACCGGCGGCATGTGCGCGGCCCAGCGGGGGGGGGGCCAGGGACGTAATGAAACAAGAAGAGGCGCCATGAAATCTGGGGAGATATCATGGCCCCCGCCATGATATCCACCCCCCCCCTAGTCATCCCCCCCCCTCTTTTCCGCCCCCGAACCATGTCTGGACTGCACATGCACAAGGCCGTGGCCGGGCTCGTCCTGGGCCCCGGATATGGGTGCACGGCCCTCTCGCGCCGCCACAGGAGGGAGCGCCGGCGAGGGGGAGCGAGAGGGGCCCCCTGCCCGGCCACGGCGAGCCCAGGGATCCCACGGGCCCGCGGGCCCGCACCGAAGAGATCCAGGGAGCGAAGTGAATCGGCGGTGGACAAACCTCCCTTTGGTAGACCTCCCCTCAGTGAATATTCCCCCTGTAGAGGGACAAGCCCGACTTGAGTCCACGGCCCGGGCGCCTCAACGCATCACTCCGCGCGCTCGCTGGCACCATCCCCTCGCGCGCACGCTCTCGCGCGCACAGGAGCGCACACTTGCACCCTCGACGCGCGACTGGGGCCCAGCCAGCGGTGACAGCTGTGGGAACGCCAGCAGCCAGAACTCGCTTACCTCTGTCGGTGGTGGACAAACCTCCCTTTAGTAGACCTCCCCTTAGTGAAAACGGCCTGGGGCCGAAACCGACGGACCTGGACCCGCAAAAATGACGGCCGCGACGCCCTCTCGCGAACCGAAAACGGCCAATTCCTTAATCGACGTGTCAGGGTAGGAGGTCTGTCCACCCCCGAAGTGAAGTGGAGAGTCCTGGCTCCGAAGAGGTCGAGGGCGACATCATGACGATCAGGACGAGTGGCGCGAGGTGAAGTGAAGATCTGGGGCGAAGGCTTTCTTCAGCGCCCCTCTAACGGGACTCCACCAAGGGGTACTTTGGCCAGTGACCCGGCGAACCCAATCCTCCCCGATGTGGGCAACGCTGCAATGCCAGAACGAGGCCAAAGTGGCAAGTTTCGGCAATTTTCTAAAGTGCCCGTTAGTGAGTACCCGTTACGGTGCCGCTGATTTTTCTCAGTTGGCTCCACCCGGGAGCTGCCACGAAGCGAAGTGAAGGGAAGAGTCCTGGCTCCGAAGAGGACGCTGGCGACATCATGACGATCAGGACGAGTGACGCGAGGTGAAGTGAAGATCTGGGACGAAGACACGAAGACTTCTTCTCAGTTGGCTCCACCCCGGAGCTGCCACGAAGCGGACCCAGGGTGGCATCTTCTCAACCACATGCTGCTCTTTTCGACCTTCGGCCGAGGGCGTCTGGGCCTCAGGCAGCCTGTCGCCATCAACATCAACAACAGCAACAACAGCAGCAGCAACAACAGCAACGACGACAACGACGACGACAACGACGACGACAACGACAACGACAATGACAACGACAACGACAACGACAACAACAACAAATACAACAACAACATCAGCAGCAGCAACAACAACAACAAAAGCAACAACAAAAAACAAAGCAAACCAACAACAGCAATAGCAACAACAACAACAACAACAACAACAGCCGAGGATGCCATGACGGGATTTGCTCAAGATGCGCTCCAAGATCTCTGGCCCTCGTTTCTGCAGCCCGTGCGGAACATCACGGGAACTTCTGGGAATCTTAAACATCTTGGAGCGTGCCATTATCAGGAAAGCCAGAGCAGCTGAGAGGCCCGAGGAGGTCGCCCGAAACCCAGAGAGCCCCTCCTGAGTCGAAAGTGGCCCTTACTGCTGCGCCTTGACTGCATGCGCCCTCCTGGCCCGGCTCGGGCGGGTGGTCATGGGGGGTGACCTCACTGGGGGGGGGGAGAAAAGGGCCCCGAAGGAGCACCTTGGGGCCCCTTCCGGAGCCAGCAGGGGCTCAAAAGGCGCAGAAAACCTCCCGGATGGCCAGGGGACTTGCGAGCCTTCTGAGAGGCCTTCTCGTTCTCACTTCCCCCCTCGCTCGCCGCCGATCCTCGTCGGCCACGACCACCGCGTTCACGCTGAGTGCGGCGAGCAGCTCCGCGATCGCGGCGACGCCGAGGCCCTCACAGGCCGCCTGCCGAGGGGGACAAGAAGGCACCCAGACCAGTGCTCCCCGGACCTCTAAGGGGCCCAGTGTGATCAGAACCTTGAGGAGGATCCAGCCGTTGGGCGTGGCTTAATGGGGGGGTCACAAATGGGGGGGTCAGAAAAGGTCCCCTTTCGTGCCCCTTTCGGACCCCTCCGGAGCCCCAGGGGGCTCGTTTAGGTACCGTTTGGGTACCTTTTCGGACCACACTCGCCACCCCCCATTTATGATCCCCCATTACGCAGCGTCCAAAGCCGTGGCGACAAGAGCTCTCCGGGACGAGCAGCGGTAGCGGCACGGCAGGTCCGTGCAGTGACGACCTCGGCGTTTGGGTTTCTGACACGGCGTGAACCTTGCACTGTCGGCGTCTTTTCGATCGCCACTTGGTTCCATGCTGGCCGATGCTTGGCCACCAGCGGCGTTCAACCTCGAGCGAACGCGGCGGGATCGCTGCCGCGCCAGCACGACCCGAGCCTGCCGTACGGCTTCCTCCCCCAGACTTGCGACGCCCCGCTGTTTTCGATGCGCGATCCCCGAAGGCCCGGCCAGTTCCCCCGGGCTGGGTGCTCGTCCTGAGTCGTTGTTTGACGGCGCCGGGGCCCGGCAAGAGCCCCCAGAGACCGAAAACTGCAAGACAAAACAAAAACGTCTGGATAGTTTCACTACGCGAGGGCGTCTGGGGATAGGGGACGTCGCGCGCGACCAGGGGAGACCACACCACACCACAAGGCCCATGCCGATCCGATCGAACCGATCATATAAAGGTCTGGGCCAGCCCAATCCGATTCAATTCCGAGGAGAAGGAGGAGGAGGAGGAGGAGGAGGAGGAGGAGGAGGAGGAGGGGGGAGGAGGAGGCGGAGGAGGAGGAGGAGGAGGAGGACCCAGAGGTACCGATGCCACCACTCCCCCGACCTCTCCCGGGCTGCCTCCTGAGCGGTACCGCGACGAGGGCCTGCCCGGAGGCTCCCGCGCGGGGAAGGCGAGGCAGGGCCAGCAGTACGGGTACCTCTCCTTCCTCCGAGGCCCGATCCGATGCGGCCCGAAGCGGCCATGGCGCTGGCTTCTCTGGGCGCCCGAATTGTCCCCGGTAACTCGGGTCCGGGGTAACTCGGGTTCGGATTCCCGAAAACCGAGCCCGAGTGAGCCCTGACCCGAGTCGCCCCCGATGATTCGAGGCTCTGACTTCTCGTCTGGGCCGCCGAGCCTTCTGCGCGGCGCCCGCGCCCCGCCGCAGCTCCTCGGCGCACAGCCCCGCCCGCTCCTCCAGCGTGGCGCGCTGCGCGGGCTGCAGGTGGTGCCAGTGGCTCTCCAGGCGGGCCCAGGGCGGCTGCGCCCCCTCTGGCGGCCAGCCACAGCCAGGGGGAGAGGGGGATCGACCTGGGTGGTCTGGTTCCGTGCTCGTGCTGCCATCGTTCTCCCTCGTCGGGTCTTCGCCCCGCCTCTGCGTCAAGGCGAGATCGAGACGAACACGGCCCGCGAGATCGCCAGAGCACTGCTCAAGGTCGAGTCCTGCCGACCAGCCACAGTCGGAGGAGCTGTGCTCACTGATCTTGGCCTGCGACGAGGCGGGGGCCCCAGAAATCTCCAGCGGGAAGGCTCGATGACTATAATCTCGAGAGGGGTGTCGAAAACAGTGGGCGATGTTTCACACCGGGTGTTTTTCGCCGAGTTTCGGAACTCAGGGCCCACACAGATCGATCTGGCCCGAAACATTCTGCAGAAAATCAAGGTCCAGGCTCTAGGGCTCCAGTGGAGATGTTTGGCGGCGCTACGTTTTGTTCCGCAGCGTCAGATCTGATGGCAACCATCATATGTCGCCACACCGTTTGTTCTAGACGCGCCCAAGTGGACGACGCAGACACCGCGGCACACCCACGGCAAGCCCTGCGTCCTGCGCCCAAGGTGGACTAAGCCAGCATCGTGGTAAACCCACGGCGAACCCACGGCGTCTGAGGCGGCGTCTGCCATGGTGGCCGAGCCGCCTGCGCGTCGGAACAAACGGCGAGGTGACATATGGACGAATTAACCGTCGATCGGAAGAAGTGGGTAGACACATAAAGTAGGAAAGCGTAGAAAGTAGATTGGGCTCCCGTCCGCCCTCTGAGGACGAGAGAAGAGGGAAGACCACTCCACTCTTGAAGTAGGAAGGGGCCTAAAGTAAATTGGGACTTGGGCATTCAAAGACCTACTTTCAACGACCGACGAATCATCTCTGGAGAGGGGTGTCGAGACAGATGGGCCCCCAGAGGGGGCAAGGAGTCACTCCTGCCCCCTGGTCGTGACTGGCCTGCCTCCTGCTCCCCGAGCCACCGCCGCAGCACGCGCAGCGCCAGCCTCACCTGGCACCAGGCAAAGGGACACGCTGTGGTTGCTTGCGAAGACGACGCCAGGACGAGGATAACACTGGGTGAAGGTACATCAAGAGCCTCTCAGATCGGGCGGCTCCGGAGAATGTCTCGGGCGCCGCGGCCTTCTCAGAGCGCTCCGGAACGCTCTGAGAGCATGCTGGAACGCTCTGGAGCGGATTTTATGCCTCGGCGAGCGCACGAGCAGCCCTGTGGCAATGAACGGGGCGACGACACCGCCCTAGGATACCTCTATGTCGGCGTGGTCGAGGCGTGGGCGAGATGGTGATAAGTGTCTGTTGGGACGATACCGCTTTTCTTTATCCCCAACGGCTGTGGTCTCGTGCCAGTTAGGCAGGACAGCGAAGTGAACGGGGCGACGACACGACAGACAGACGAACGGCGGACGACGGGCATCTGCGTCGGGGCCGTCCGCGGCGACTGCGCACCGAAGCCGAAGCAGACCAAAACTGGATCTGCCGATGCTTCGGTGGCAACTCATGGGAGCCTCCCGTGCAATCTTGCCGGCTCTTGCAAATCGACGCTAATCGACGCTAGCAGACGCTAACCCGGCGCTATCTCATCGACTCCAGACGATAATCGACACTAACCGACGCTAAAGACAGAATCGAGATGGTTGACCAGGCCCCCATGATTTGCCACAGCACGACGCGGCCGGCAAGGACGCAGCGACGCGGCAGCGACGCCGGCCGAGCGCAACCGACTGCAGCGCAGCCGAAGCGACCGAACCACGGACACCCGTGTGCCTCCACCTCCTCGCGGCCTGGACTCCTCGGCCGGGGCCCCAGCGCGACAGGCTTCGCGCTGGATAGCCCGCGACGGAATCCGAGGCGGCAGTTTATGCATGACCACTGCCTGGAGGATCAATCTTCGGGGACCCCGGCAGGCGGTGGGTATGGACATGTTCGGGCCCCCCAGGGCAAAAAAAAAATATCCATTCGGCTACGCGCAGGAGTGACCCTGGGTAGGAGTGACCTTTGGTGCGCGACTTCTTGGGGGTCGCGGGGGGAACCCAACCTGGGCGCGCCAGCAGCTGCTACTGCCTCGTTTTCAGCCATCTGGGGACCCATCTGTGCCCGCACCAAAGGTCACTCCGGCGAAATGTCACTCTTACGTCTGTAGTCGATCCACATCCACCGCCCGCTGGGCCACCAGGCCGTCGGTTCACAGGCGGTGGATGTGGACATGTCCGGTCCCCGCCTCGCACAGACGGATCCCTGGGGCCTCGTCGCCCTGGGATCGGGAGCGGCCAAGAGGGGGGTGTCCAAGAGGGGGGGTGCAAACCATGACCGGCGGCATGTGCGCGGCCCAGCAGGGGGGGCCAGGGACGTATAATGAAGTAAGAAGAGGCGCCATGAAGTCCGGGGAGATCTCATGGCCCCCGCCATGATCTGCCCCCCCCTAGTCATCACCCCCCTTTGCCGCCGACGAGCAAAGCAGCGTCCGCCAAATCCCTGACCCCGTCCCAACAGCTCTCCTCAGAACGGAGGCCGAACACGGGAAGACAGGGAAGCGGAGACGGCCTACGAAACGATGAGGCACGCAGGACCGCAAGGTGCGAATGAAACACCAATGAGGGGCAACGATAGGGGGGGACTGGCATATGGGGGGATGCATCCCGCCCCCCCCTAGTCATCACCCCCCTCTGTGCCGCCCCAGATGGGAGCGCGCGCGCCTCGGTGCCCACTCGGGCCGCGAGGGCGGGCGTGCCCGCCGCTCCGGGCGGCAGGGGAGGAGCGCGGCCCCAGCGCCAGGCAGGCAGGCGCCCCCTCCCGACGGGTGAGCGTCTTTTGTTGTTTTCGCTTTTCGTTCTCGGCGTTTCGACGCTGGGCGCAAGGGGGGGGGGAAGGGTTAGGAGGCAACTGCTGGGAGGTTTTCGTCGGAAAGATTCAGGAGGATTGAGCCCCACTTGGGAGCTGCTACCCTGGAGCGGGCCTCGGATTAAGCCGGATTAACCGGGATTAAGCCGGATTAAGCCAGGTTGCGGACCAGGGCAGGATCAGAATCTGACCCCCCAGGAGTTGCATGCGAAAGAAAGGGGGGGGAGGTCTGGCTCCGGACTCCTGCTTCCTGCGACCGTTTGGAGCAGTGCGTCCTGTGGGGGTGGGGAGGAGGAGGAGGAGGAGGAGGAGGAGGAGGAGGAGGAGGAGGAGGAGGAGGAGGAGGAGGAGGAGCAGGACCCCACCTGCGTGAAACAGGCGCCAGAAACAGCCGAGAGCTGCTCCAGGGGGGGGGAGGGGGCGCGAGGGCCCGCGCCGATCGGCAGCGCAACGACGAAGGGAACGAGCACTCCTCCGGACTGCCCGACTGGCTTCAAAGCCGCCCTCACCGGGCGCGCCGCGCCGGCGGGGTGCGCACAACGACGGTCGCAGCGGCCAGCCACTGCCGCTACAGTCGGGGCGTTGACCTAAGGAACCCAGAATAAGGAACGAGGCCCGTTTTTTCCATGAGTTAAACTTCGATTTCCGATCGAAATCAGTAGGAAAACCTGAGGCAAGCTGCGAAACACTTAAGGAACGCGGAGCCCCTCCCCAACGAAAAGGGTTCCTTCTTCAGGGCCCCGACTGTACCCGTGGATCGAATCGACGATCAGTACAGACATCGTGTTGGGAGGAAAGGGTCGAGATGAGGCGCCGGGTACGATTGTGTGATTAATGCTACCAACAAGCTCAGTAATACAGACGATCTGGTCATTTCTCCCGACCTCACCCCCCCATCCAGAGAAGTGTCTTTCTGAATCGATGCACCACCACCTCGCCCGACCGACGACCCTGGGCCCTTGCATAGAGTACAAGGTCTCCTGGCCGAGGCCAAACGGGCCTTCACACCATGCAAGGGGCGTCCAGGATCCGGGACGCTCCCGACTCTTTGTTTGGGTGTTTGGGATAGAACGCCTCAAACTAGGACGAGGAGTAGGACGAGGAGGATGTGGAAAGGGAGGAAGAGAAGCTTCAGGGCACGGGCACGGTCGGTGGTGTGCAGATGCCTCCTGCGGAATCCCGAGATCCGAGGGCGCGAACAAAAATAGCATCGCGAACAATCACGACCGGCGCTTAGACCCTTCGGGCCGGGCGAAAGGGGGGGATAGCAAAGGGGGGGGGTGAGAATCAGCTCACGTAGCTGACTTTCCCGGCGCCTCCCGGCGCCGGAGGCGGCGATGTATCGAGGCATGGGCCCCTCGGTGAGGCCGAAACCAGCTGCATGCAGCAAAATTCGTACCCCCCCCTTTCCCTATCCCCCCCTTCCGTCGGGCCCGATTATCGGGGATGGACAGAACCCCCTTTAGTAAAACGTGGTTTAGTGAAAACGACCTGAGGCCCAAACCTGGCGGGCGCAAGCCTGGAAAATAACGGCCACGGCGCCCTCTCGAGAACCGAAAACGGACAATTCACTAATCGACGTGTCACTGTTGGGGGTTCTGTCCACCCCCGAGATTAGACCCTATGGACCCATCCTCCAGCCACACAGCTTCGAGCCAGGTCGCTCTGCGAGGGCCCCACGGCCCGAGGCCAGCGGAGCACTCTCTCGGGGTGGAGGGCTCCGGGTGAAGTCCATATGGGCTTCGGCACCTCCAAGTCAGTCCGTCTTGCGTGATCCACCTTTTCGCAGATTCGAGCCTCGAACATCCATCGAAACGGCATGTCAGGTTTCACCCTTTGCCCTCCACCCAAAGGAAATGCTCGGGCCAGGCGGATGCAGCGCCCGGATCTCACGGGTTTTCATCCACTCGCAAAGGACACGCCGGGTCCTCACAGCCTTGGCCACGAGGCAAGCCTGAGCCGGATCGAATCGCGGCATCGGATCGGGCTGGAAACGGATCGGACCGCCAGCGAAGCGTCCCGGATCGAATCGAAGTCGGATCGTGGTGCCCGGCTCCGGATGGACTCGGGCGGTGCCGGTGAAACGAACCGAATCGAATCGAATCGAAAGCGCGGCCAAAGCCGGCGAATCCAATCGCATCGAATCGGATCGTAAGCGGCCCTGCGAGGTCCCGCTGCCGCGCCCGCCGCCCCTCAGTGGAGAGGCGGGCAGGAGCGTGAGGAGGTGGGATGCGCCCCGCCTGAGTGGCCGTCGGGAAGAACTGGCCCGTGCGCGCAGGGAAGACCACACCCACCCCACGCTGCCTCCCCAGACTAAGACGAAGCCAGGACGAGGATAAACACGGGTGAGGAAAACCGAGAATCTCTGAGACCTGGCGGCTCTGGACGATGTCTCGGGCACCGCGGCCATCTCAGAGCGTTCTGGAGATCTCTGACCGCGTTCCGGAGCGCCCTGGAACGGATTAATCCTCGTCCTAGCCCCGTCCTTCCTCCTCCTCCTCCTCCTCCTCCTCCTCCTCCTCCTCCTCCTCCCTGTCTCGCCTGGACCTCTCGGGCCAGAGTGCCGGGCCGCCTCGGGCCGTGGACAAAAAGCTCACGACGGACAAAGAGGGTGCTGCGGCTCTTGGCCTCTGGGGGCCCCTCGCCGGGCCGCCGGGCCGTCAAAGGTCCGGCTCACCAGCGCCTCTTATGAAGGGGCCCCAGGACACACAAATAAAAGGATTCCCAATATTTTCCCATATTTTCGGAGTTTTTGTCTTTCCCCCCACTTCCCATATTTTCCTGTATTTTCCTGGGGATCGACGATTACTTGTGTCTGTGTGTTTCTTCCCCTCCTGATCTTACACGGGGACTCCACTTTTGGACGCCCGAAGTTGAGGGGCAACGATAAGGGGGGGGGACTGGCACAGGGGGGGATGCATCGACCCGGAATCGGCGACACATCGCCGATAGATCGGCGATAGGCCTCCGGGAGTGAATCCGCACCTCCCTGGGCAGGTTGGGGCTGTCGGGCCCCTAACGGCGATCAATGGGCGATTGTACCCATTCTTTCCGTACCCATTTCGTTCGTGCAGACCACTAAGGGGTACTTTGGCCAGTGACCCGGCGAACCCAATCCTCCCCGATGTGGGCAACGCTGCAATGCCAGAAAGAGGCCCTGCAGTGGCAGCTTTCGGCATTTTTCCAAAGTACCCGTCAGTGAATACCCGTCACGGTGCCGCTGAACAGAAGATGAAACGCCGATCCCGGGGGAATGTGTAAAAACCTCCTGGAGTCCACATAGAGGAGACCAAAAAAGACACGTCGTTGGGGGTCTGGGTCCACCGGTGGCAAAGAGAAAGGTGCGTCCGCGGGTGGTGCCCAAGATGCTGCCGAATATGGCGTTCCAGACATCCCCAGGACTGCCAGAGTGCGCCCCAACGTCCAGACGGTCCCCAGACCACTCCGACGGCCCCAACGATGTCCAACGGGACCCTAAGATGGTGCAGGGTGGAGGGCTGGGGGCATCACCTGCTGCGCAACGACATGCATGCGACCGTCGCTTTACCCACGCCCCCGCTCACGCCAGAACTGTGCGCTGGGCCAGAGTGGATAAAAAACTCTGGCCCTCGAGCCCGACGTTTACACATGCTCTGCTTCCTCTGGCGCCCTGACTGGGGGGGGGGGGCAGCAGCACGGGCACCCATGGATCGAACGTCGGTCGCCAAGCAGAGCGCACCTCCGCAGGAGAGCCTATAGGCCTAGACGGAGCAGGCCCAGACGGAGGCCGAACGCTCCGCCTGGACACACTCCGCATGAACTTGGCATCCGATCACTGGGCGCCGAGCCCAGACGGAGCAGGCCCAGACGGAGGCCGAGCACTCCGTATGGCCTTGCTCCGTCTGGACTCAGCCTTAAGTCGGGCGTGTCCCCCTACAGGGGGATTTTCGACGGAAAATGAATATACCCCAAAAATACGCCAAACGGGCCAAACGATACTCAAAAAACAATCCCCAGACTATTTTGTATTGTTTTGAATACTCCCCCTGTAGAGGGACAGGCCCGACTTTAAAGCTCGTGGGGGGCGTTTCGTTCCCATCGCATCACCACTGGCGGGAGCGCCCGCGGAGGCAGCCCGCGGCTCGAGGCCGCCGAGGCCGCGCGGTGCTCGCCCGCGTAGTACTCGGCCCACGCCGCCCTCGGCAGGAGGGCGCCAGCTGCGCGCTCGGTGCACACACATTATACACATATGTATAGATGCATATACCTATGTATATATATATATGTGTGTGTGCATATATATATATATATGTATGTATATATATACACATATATAGAGAAATGTGTATGTGTATGCGTGCGTGTGTGTAGACAGAAAATAGAAATCGGAGACAGCAAAAATCAACACTTCAACAAAATAAAAATCCGGGGCGTGAAAAAAGATGCCGCCCAACCGAATAAAAATCAAACACATCCAAAATCAGTCCGTGCTCTCTAACTTATCATGATCAGACTTTCCAACGTATGTCCCACGCGTATGTGTCGTAACAAAAAGCTGTGCCTATCTCTATACACATCTGTGGCGGGTTCAAGAAACCTTGCGCCCCAAACATGTTGTCATCTCTTGGGTGCGCATCCTTTGCTTCCGCCGTCTTCTGCCGGCCTTCCGCCGGCGGAGGCGGACCCGTTTCACTTCCGCCGCCTCCCACCGCCCTTCCGCCGCCCTCTGCCAGGGAAGGGATGGCAGCTCCTTCAATCGTTGAAGACGAGGCCCCTTCTGGAATGCCCCATGTGTGCATCACATACAGCTATATATATATATATAGAGAGAGAGATTGTTCGATATAGATATGTGACATGTGTATGTGTGCGCACTCCAGGTTTGAGCCAGGGAGGCATGCACTAGAGGAGCACAAAGCGGCATGAGCATAAGCTTCCGAAGTCCCCGCAGACTTCTTGGCTCGGCGCTGGACCCCCGCCTGGCAGGAAAGCCCAGAATCGAATCGATAAGCAGGATCGGCGATCGAAACGACTCGGATCGGCAGAGATCGGCAGCCAAGTCGGGAAGGGTCGAATCGGCGGAAGCCGGCAGGCTGGCAGGCCTCCATCGAGACATCGGAACCCACGTCCAGATCCGAAGCCGAATCGAGATGGGCATCGGAAGCCAGCGAAACCGGACCGAGCCGCATCGGAGGAAGCGAACCGATGCCCCGCCCGGCGGGGCCGGCGGCGCCGCCCACGGCGAGGCTCCGCTCGAGGCGGGCGGGGGCCCCCCCGTGCTGGGCAGGCAGGGGCAGGCAGGGGCGCAGGAGGCCCGGGAGGCAGAAAGAACGGCGAACCACCTCCCTGTAGTCTGATTCTGCCACGACGCGAGCATGTCCGGGCTGTCTGCCCCATCACGCCGCTATCCGCCACAGCCGGCTGCATCGGAGCTCAGAGGCGGGGGAGGGGGAAGAGGGAGAGACGGAGCGAGGAGAAACTCGACATCGGGGCAACTGTCATGATTCAAAGTGCAAAGGTGGTCTACAGTGGAGGCCAGAGTCCACAAGAAACCTTCCATAAGAAACCCAACCCTGAGACCCCAGGACGTCCATCGATTTTGGGCGTGGGAGCGTCGCGCCTTCCACAGCAAGACCATCGAAGCCCAAGAAACCAAGGGTACTCTGGAGGCAAGTGGGGTGTTTCTTGGCATGGGTCTCCACTGTATGTCCACACCAAGACCGACCACAACAATGCTGAACACAAAATGGCGCTGCAAGCTACGAAACATAACGAAACCCATCGTTCAAAAAAACAAGCGTTTGGACAGAAACTGGTGCCAATCGCGAAACGGAAATTGGCATGAGGCGTGTAAACCAAAAGCGAGCAACGACACGACGCAATAACGAGACACGAAACGAAAAACCATACAAAAGCCCAAACCAAGCTAAACAGCGTTGTGGTCGGTCGTTGTTTATATCCATATCCACTGCGTCTTGGACTTTCTGGGAATGGGCGCCTAAAGGACGAGGCGCAGCGGGTATGGATTTAATAGGTTTGGAGTCCCGAAACGGTGCGGTGACAGACCGTGCGGTGACCTCGATATCCCTCAAGACCTCATCGCACGGTCCGTCACCGCACGAACTTGGGACCCCGGAGGCCCCTGTCGCCCGAGACATCCTCGGAGAACGACCCGAGTCCCAAAACCGTGCGGTGACCCCGAATCCCCACCAACTCACCGCACGGTGTGGTCACCACCACATTTGGGGGCCCCCGAATATAGCCCGAAGGGGCCAGGCGGTCAGATTCTTGTCCTTATCCACTGTGCCTCGGGCGTCTGGGGAAGGGATGCCGAATCTCCAAGATGCATACATCTTGCCCGCATCGCGCCACCAAATGCGCACAAGGAAAGTTGATGTGTATGCCTATCCTCTCCGGGAGCACACCGATCCTGGTTCCCCGCCATGAAACGTTGCGAGAACATTGCCACACCGCGAGCAATCGCGACCGGAGCCCGGACCCCCTGCAGTATTTGTCGAGCCCGAGGCGGGGCGAAAACGCCGTGCAGAAATGGGCCAGGCCTGGACCTCAGGGTCTGCCTATGCGCGCTCCTAGCTCTGGCCAGGGAGGCGTGCACACCTAGTCCTGGGCCCAGGGTGGACCTGGCCAGAGGCTGAACGGGAGCGATCGCGGGGACTGGCTCGAGGGGGGGGGGGGGCATCGACCTGGAGTCGGCGATACAGTCGGGGCGTTAACCTAAGGAACCCTAAATAAGGAACGGGGCCCCTTGTTCCCATAAGTGAAGTTTTGATTTCCCATGGAAAACGAAAGGGAAACCCAAGGCAAACTGTACAACAATCAAGGAACACCGAGCCCCTCCCCAACGAAAAGCGTTCCTTCTTCAGCGCCCCGACTGTACATCGCCGATAGATCGGCGATAGGCCCCGGGTGGCGAACCCGCAGGCTCCCGGGCGGGGTGGGGCCATCGGGCCCCTATGGCGGCGAGGCACGGGCGACTGGGGTGCCGAGGCATCCCCCCCCCCCGAGCAGGTCCCGGTCCCTGATGGCCTCTGGGCCACAGCTCGGGCTCCCGGCGGCCCTCCAGGACGACCAGGCACCCCCGGAAACGCCCATCCGGCGAGGCGCCGCACGTTGGAGAGCATCCCTGAGGCTGGAACACCGCCGAGAACCGACGAGAGTGCTTCCGGAGGGCTTCAAACGGGTTTGGGGGGAGGGGGTTTTCCAGAGAGCCCCCCAGGGGCCTCGGAACCTCGTCAAAACAGGGAGCGCGAAGCCCCTGGGGGACCCCTCCTGGAAAACCCCCTCCCCCCAAACCCCCTTTGGAACCCTCCGGTGCTTTGAAAAACCTCGCACCTCGCGCCTCGAACCCCCTGAGCCCTGAGAGCCCCTCCTCCGCCGAAAGCTGCCACCGAGAGGCGGTGTGTTCGTGCAGCTCTCGTCTGCCGATCCCTCTGCTCGACCCATTCCCCACAGGTCCCAACCCCTTCCCCGGGACCGGCTTCCCATCCTGAGGGGCTCGGCGAGGGCCCCCAGAGGCCAAACATAGCAGACAACCTCCCGTCGTGATTTTTGTTCGCGGCAGACAGTGTATTTCTACAGCTCTCGTCTCCCGAAATCCATGGATTCCTTGGGTCGGCGCTGGACACCCCCTGCCGCGCCTTCCCCCCTGGCGCGCGGAGCGCGCCAGGTGTGGCGCCCAAGGCGCCGCTAGAGGGGGCCTGGGCGCGGACCCAGGAAAAATCCGCACGCAGCTCCGAAAGTGTATGCTTGCATAGTTCTCCCTGCTGGGAGGATGGGCCGCACAGAGGCATTGTAGTACTGTATGGCCGATTTCGGAAACCCTGAACCCAAAAACGTGTTCATCTCTTGGGGGCGCATGTTTTTGACTTCCGCCACCTTCCGCCGCCGTTCCGCCCGTCTCCTCTGGCGGAGGCGGCCTCGTTTTACTTCCGCTGACCTTCCACCGCCCTTCCGCCGCCTTCCGCCGCGGAAGAGATGACAACTCCTTCGATCCTCGAAGGCAAAGCCCTTTTTGGAATGCCCCATATGTCCTCATGTAGTATACCCATCTTGTAGTAGATCGCTTCCCGAGCGGTGTGGCCAGAAAGCGCCCGCCGCGACGCCTATACTGGAGGATGTCTCGGTGCGCGCGTCGCCCCTGGGGGGGTGGCGACGCACACATAGCATTGGCATGTTGGGGTGATGCCGGGAGGATGGGCCTGGCCAGGGGCGGTGCATGCGCACAGCTCTCGCCAGCCCGAGGGCCTCTGCTCCCGCTGCGAGGCGAAGGCGAGGCCCGTGGCCGCACACCGCAGCTGCTTCTTGCCGCCCGTCGGCGCGGCCAGGCTCCTCGGGGAGCAGCAGCAGCAGCGTCAGCCACACGCCACCGTGGTAGGACAAAAGTAACAAAAATCCTGAGGTTCATTGGCGGCGCGCCCAGGTGGGGGGAAGTGGAAGGTTCGGATTCGAGGTTCGAGTCGCCTTTGGGATGTGTTCGTCGGTGCTCGGCGGCTTTGCAGCCTCGGGATGCGTTCCAGCAGCTGTGCCTCGCCGAGAGCGTTCCAGGGGTGCCCAGATCGTTCCGAGCAGCCGCCGGAGGCCCCAGCTATGACCCGAAAACCAAACTCGGCGTCGCGCCGAAAGGCGACACCATGATTGGTGGACAGAAGCATGCACCCTCTGTGTTGACTTTGGTGGACGCCCCCCGCGCCCACGATGAAATATTGGCGGGCTGCGCTGCGATGTGCCGATGTGGACCAGCGGGAATCCTGGGCCCCGTTGGTGATGCCAACCAACATTGAATGGGTGGCAGGGAGGCGCATAGAAGTTTGCGCCGGCACCCTTGTCGCGCGGGCGGTGCGAGATGTGGTCCATCAACCTGACCACCACCAGCGCGAGGCGTCAGGAAGGGTCCTCTTGGTGGTGTGGTCCCCCCCTCTGTTGAATACACACCGGGCCTTCGGTCAGAAACAAAGGAATAGCACGCTGACGGGCTGACGGGCAACACGCATAAGTATCCACACCCACTGCATCTTGGAGTTTGGCTCCCTTCCCCAGACACCCGAGGCGCAGCGGATATGAACAATGGACAATGATCTGGCACCTAGAGGCCAGATCCTTCATCCCTAGCCGCTGCGCCTCGTGCGACGCCCCTCCCCAACGAGTCCATGACGCAGGGGATATGGACATAGATACTGCCCGCGCCGGCCACCAGCCTCTTTTGCCCGCAAGCACAGGCGGGCGCGAGGATGCTGCAGATGCCGGTCAGCGTCCGGAGGAGCGCTGCCGAAGCAAAGTGAAGCACGAGGGAAGAAGAGGCGCGGACAGGAGGGGCGGACAAGGGGAGGCAGCCGCTCAGGACGCGCAGGCTCTTCACGGGTGCGCCGAAGAAGTGCAGGCCCGCACTGGCTTTGGGTCGGGCATTTCCGCCTACAGGCGGATTTGGGATGTTGTTATTATTATTATCATCATCATCATCATTATTACTACTATTATTATTATCAGCATTATTATTATTAGTATTATTATTATTACTACTACTATTATTTAATATTCAAAAATCTCGCAACGTATTCAACAATTATCAAAAATGGTCGAGCAATCGTCCCCAGACTACGTTTTGACTATTTTTGAATACTCCTCCTGTGGAGGGACATGCCCCACTTAACACACTGGCTACCAACGGCAGCGTGTCACTGGCGCCCGTTCTCCCTCCCAAGCCAATCTCCAGTCGCAGCGGCGGCCGCGCTCGGCGTCCGCGAGGCAGCACGCCCAAGGCTCCTCCGCCAGCACCCTGGGCGCGGAGCCGGACCCCGACTCCCTTGGTGAGCGTTTTGTTATTCGGCGTTTCGACATTGGGCAGAAGGGGGGGAGGGGGGGGGTCTGGCTCCGGACCTCTGCTTAATGCGACTGTTTGGGACCGTGCGTCCGTCCTACGGGGCAGGGACTCCACCTGCTCGAAACAGGCACCCAAAACACCAAGATCTACTCCACGGGGGGGGGGAGGGGGGGTGCGAGGGCCCGCGCCGCTCGGGAAAAGAATTAATAAGAAAACGCTCATGCGAAAATGCACGATGGTAACGTGTTTGCTATTTTCGTCCTCTGGGAGCCCTCGCCGGGCCCCCCGGCCGTCAGAAAAGGACTTAAAACGAAGAGCCGGTCCCGGGGAATGGATCAAACCTGTGGGGGTCGACGCTGTGAAAAAAACACTTGGTCAGCACCCTGGTGCGGAGCCAAATCTCTAACGACGCGATGTTGTTCATCCCCGCTGGGTTTTCATCCAACCGGGGCCCGTTTTTGGACCCCGAGGCCTTGAAAACATTAGCCTGGAACGGAAAACCAACCCCGTGGGCGGTCGGGACCCCCGGGGCAGCGCCTTGCAGAATCACAGCCAAAGCCTGAGGTCCGAGCAGTGGCCTTTTGTCCGCCCATGGGCGCTCTCGCCTGGTCTCGGGCCACGGCGGATCTGGCTCGCACAACGCCGCGGAAGGATGGGGTTCCAGCGGTGATCTTTCGCAACACTCGTGGACATCAGGGGAAAGCTTAGGTCGGGCATGTCCTCCTACAGGCAGATTTTCCGGAACAAAAATACATGAGTATACTCAAACATAGTAAGACAACCAAAGTGACACCGGACTGTTGTCTTACCTTCCTTGAACATTCCTCCTGTAGAGGGGCATGCCCAGCCCACGCCTGCGCGCGCCGCGTGCCCACTCGGGCACCATCTCCCGCTCTCGTCTCCGCCCGCGGAAGGTGTCACGAGGGGAGGCGGGGAAAGAGGGGAGGCGGCGATGTGGAGCACAGTCAACGCGTAGCAGGAGGAGGAGGAGGAGGAGGAGGAGGAAGAGGAGGAGGAGGACTCTTTGACTCTTTGATAGCGGACGCTGTCCTGGGGGGCGATTTTCATCACTGGAATCGCTTTCATCCCCAGCCGGCTCGGGCTGGGGTCCCTGGGCCTGGCCAGGCCTGGAGGGAGCCGCGCGGTCCAACAACCCCGCTCTCGTCTGGGCCCCCGAAGGCCCAGCAGCCTGGCCAGCCAGGTCGGATCCTGGGTTTTCCGATTGCGGACTCCTGAGAATGGCCGCCACGTCCGCGCAGGCGGCTACTTCACGAGCCCTAATGGCCTCTAAAATTGCCCTCGGGGGGCCTTCACGACGCGGGAACAAACCTTTGCTTATCCTCGCTAGGTTCTCCGAACCCTTGTTGGTCCGTCCGTCACATCTGCCAACTAAATTCCTGGGGTCCACGGTGCAATAGGAACCGCACTCCGAACAAATGTGAAGGAACCATTTCTCCACATACTGGAGCCTGTGAGAGGGGTGAACCTTTTCCAGGAAGCCGCTCCCTCGGGCCGAGGGGGCGAACCTCTCTCCAACAGCGGCCTGGGAACCTCTCCTGACTTCGGCAGGAGGCCCTGAACATGTCGTGGCCGCGAAGACCCGCGTTTGGTAGCGGGGAACAACTCTCTCACAGACCGTGCACCACCAGTATTTCATGCTGCGACCACATGGCTCGAGGATGTGGTCCGAGGCCTGTGCCGCGGCCACCAACTTGGACGGTCTGGCCTCCTTCTTCAAAGGGGGTCTCTCCGCCCGAGTGTTTTCCTCGGCCTCCGCTGCACACACCAGGGCTCGTCTGGCCCTTCGACGAATCAGCGAAGCTGTGGCATCAAGTTTGTCCGTCTCTGGCTCCCGCCCCACCAGCCCCCTCCACGCCAACTCCGCCGCCTCCCCCGCCCACGAATCAGCACAGGCGTTGCCAGAGGCATAAAAGAGTTTCTCGCACGTGTCTAACTTCTCTGGGGCCTCCTCTTGGTGGGAGGGGAACCAAACAACTTCCACATCTGGATTCCTCCTGGCCTGGATGGCTTTGCGGGCCCTGGTCCAGAGGTCTTCGTTGGCACCCACAGGGTTGGGCCTTCGAAAACGGGCCCTCCAGGTCCTGGAGATCGTCTTGTGATCAGTCACAAATGTGAAACCCAGCTCTGAATCTACTTGCTCTAGCGCCAGGCAGAAGGCTAAAACTTCGGCTCGGGGGACCGTTTGCTTATCTCCGAGCAGAGGAACCCCGAGAGCCTCCCCCAAGGTCCACCCGCCTCCCGAATCAATCACGAGCCCCACGATCGCTGCTCCGCAGCGTCTCCGTCTGGGGTCGTCAGAATATTTGCCCCCCGAGCCGTCTCCGAAAATGTGAACTCTGCCTGACTCCGTGCATTCGGCTCGGCGAAGCCGTGTGACTTAAAATCCAGCTGCAGCTGGCCGAGGAGTGCTTCATCGAACTCAGGAGTGGTGAGCCCAACGGCTGGTACTCCCCGAAGCCAAAGAGCAGGCGACGCCTCGTGCTGCGCCGCCGCCTGCACCACGAGCACCTCCGACTTCTCGAAGTCCTCGTGGCCCTTGTTCTGCTCACATTCCCAAATGCGGTGATGCAAACTCTCCTCTTTGAGAAGGCAGCGCGGACAAAGCTTATAATCAATCAGGTATCCTTGTCTGGCGCGCCTCAATCGTGTCCGTTGCCCACCCGTGGTGACTATCAGGTTGAGCGCCGCCAAATCTGAAGCTCCTTCATTGTGAAACTTGCGCTGCTCTGCTCTGATTCTCCATACATCAGCTCCTGGGAGAAGGTCAGCTCCATCCTCGTGCTTCGACGCCTGCTGCCAGTACAATCTGCGCATGTCACTGACCACATCTCCCAAGATAGCGAGTCTCTCCCAATCATTCGTGTACTCCGCGTCAGTGCCGCTGGGGGTAAGCCAAGCCTGCAACTGTCCATCTGGTAGTGGTCTGTCCCACTCTGTCGCCTTGATGGGGTGCCAGCCTATGTCCATCAGCGTGGCCTGCAACGTGGCGATCGGGCCTCTGACATAGGCCCACCTCCTCCGTCCAGCCGTGCTCAATCGCTGTCTGATCTTAGTCCAGGCTAACTTGACTCTCGCGTGGATCTGAGGATTCATCTGGCACATCGCCAGCCACTCGTGAACAACTCGTTTGCGCAATTCCAGACCTGGCTCCCTGTCCCGCATCTCAATTGCAAGTGTTGTCGTCAGACATTTGCCTCCTTGAGAGCCTGCTGCGATCTGGCCCGCCTGTCTTCTTAGCTTCATCAGCCCCGTCATGGAAAGGCCGAACGCTTGATATCCGTATGTGGCCTGGGGCAGGGCGTCCGTAGACCAGAGTCCTTTCGCTTCTTTCGCCAAGGTAGTGCTTTTCCTCCGCCTCTTGATCTTGCCGAACCGTCTCTTGGCTGCCAGGATCCGCCTCTTGAGTGCGCGTGCAACTCGTTTGCGCCCAGCAGCAGCGTCGAGGCCCAGGTCCTTCGTGTACGTTTTGGCCTTGGCGGGGGCGCCGTTCTGCTGCAACCTCTTCGCCACGCTCTTGACCATGTCTCTGCTCGTGCCGATGACGACTGTCTTGTCTGAGACCTTGAGCCTCTGTTGACGAAGTCCTTGGGCGAGCTCGCAGGCCACTCTGACCATCTTATCTGGGGAGTCCTGTGCCGTGCCTCCCTCTCGAGCCACAGTGTCATCGACGAATGTCCAGAGTCCAGCCGTCGGTGATATGATATGCGCTCGCTGTAGGATTGGGTGGAGAAAAACCTTCGCGAGGCTGACACCTCTGGGCGACCCCGCTACTATCGATCTGGATACCCATATTGCCTCACTCAGCGACGAATTGTCTTTGAGAAACCGTGCCGCCGCGAAGATGAGTACTTCCATTTCCACTACAACTGCTGGATAGCCGAAGCCCCTCGCGATGCGCATTAGCAGCGCCAGGCTGACGCTGTCGTAGAACTTCGCGATGTCCTCCAGCAGGGTGAGGCTGGAGATGCCCAGCTCGTACCCCGCCTCGTCCAGGCAGGCTCGGAGCAGTCCAGCTCGCAACGCCGAGCTGCCTTTGAGGGCCGTGTCCCAGTGCGCGCTCAGCGCCTCACTCCAGTCGCTGCAAGGTGACGCCCTCGTCCTGCTCCAAAGTTTAACTGGTAGGGGTAGCATCCCCAGCACTCTCTCTCCGCCTGCTGGTTTGGGGACCACGGCCCCGAGTGTAGCCGTCCACTGCATCGGCCAAGTGCCCGTCTGCTCGCACATGTTGATGAGGTCGACCAGCTTCTGGCGTGCACCCTGCGGGGCCCTTCTAATGTCGTGCAACTTGAGACCATCCACACCGCCTGCTTTGTTGGGGTTCGTGGCCTGCATGGCCGAGCCGAAGTCCTCAATTGTGATCGGGTCCAAGTCTTCGTCTCTGGCCTGTCTGTGTGTGACCTGCAGCTCCGACGCGATGTCCTCTCTGGTGTCCACTGCGTCCGTCCAGATATTTAGCCATCTCTGCCTCTTCGTGTGCATGAGAATCTCTGGGTCCGCCGGGCTTGCGTTCTGGTGGTGCTGCTCGTAGGTCGGCTGCGCTGGATCTTTGACGCGCTTGTGAAGGATGCCTGGCTTCTCCGACCACATCTTCTTTGCCCGCTTGGTGAACTGCTGCCGCTGTGTGGAGATGCCTCTGGAGACCGCAATTGCCAGGTGATTTTCGATCTCATCCTTCAACCTATCAAGCTCCTCCAGCGTGTGTGACTTGACCTCCTGCACACGTAACATGCGCTCGCCGGCTTCATCATGATCAAATTTTTTCCCAAAGATCTGATCCAAACCCATCCTTCTGAGCTGCTGGTAGGTAGTGGACAACTCCTTCTCGCACTTCCTCTGTTGCTTGTTGTCCGTGCCGTTGGATCTTAGTGACTCGTATCTGGTAATCAAGACTCCCATTATCGACCACAACTCTGCTGCTTGATACTTCATATGCG